GAGCCATGGTTATTTGCTGCCTGTTTCAGACAGGCTCATGGCTGAGCGCTGCGTGCGTTTGCTGGCATCCCGGGAAAGGCCCTGGCCCTCCTGGCAGAGGAGCCCTGGCCCAGGGCCACGTTGTGGAACGGGGCGGCAGGCACCAGGCTCCGCACGAGGCTGGACACCCCCGGCTCTGCTTAGCCCTTTCCCTCTCCAAAGGGCACTTAATCCCTGCTGCCATGCCAGGCAGCTCCCATGTAAGTAAACTCACACGGAGAGCTCAGGCTGGGATTTTTCCTGCTGGCAGCACCAGCAGGGCTGGGGAGCTGTTTTTAGGGAGCGGCGGGAAGCGAGCGGGACCAGCACACGCCATTCCCGAGCTCTTCCCTTGCCTCTGCCGGGGAGCTCGGCTTTCCAGGGAAGTGTTCTGCAGTGTTGCAAACAGCTATTTCCCTGCGCTTTAGCCATCTCCTCGTCTCAAAATAGAAGCCATTAGAGGCGGGTGGTGGGGCTTTTTACTGCTAGGCCAGTCTGCAGCCTGCAGTCATTGTAAAATTGCCAGCACAAAAAGTGCGGTATAAATTAGCCAGCAACTGTTGTTGAATTTAAAATAAGTCAAGGTCCCTTTTTTTTTTCCAAAGCACTTGTTCTGGTGTCCAGTGTCAAAGCTCCGAAATACTTTTATAGTAGCTATGTTGGTATTTACCTTCAGCTTGTATGTAGGAAGCAAACTGAGGGTGACCGTTCCTCTTAAAACGCAGCATGAGGGGACTGTACATTTACATTGTAAGATAACTGGAAAAGATGGTTTGTGTGCGTGTGAGTAGGTGTATGTTTGCTTAGCCTCAGCCAGTGCAAACAGCTTTCCTGGACAGGAGATTTTTTTTTTTTTTTTGTGGCTAGTTTACACTCCCATAATGCATGTCCCAAGATTTCCTTAGCATGTGCAAAGGATGACAAATATCAGTACTTCATACAACTATATTTAATAAGTTATTACAGAAAAAAATAAAGTCCAAACTACAAAGTTTAAGCAGTTGTAAGCAATAGCAGCATTGAGCTCCATGTTTAGTCACAGTACTGCAGTTCCATACAAGCATTAGTCCAAGCCAAAAAGGAAGAAGCTTTGTTAGAATTACTAGCAAAAACAATCTAAGAGAACATGTAATAAAAGATACAGTACATTTAAAATTAGTTGAAAAACAAGTACAGAGATCTTAGCTGTGAATGCTCTAAAAGTTATGTCCATTATTTTGACAGTAAAATTACAAATATCTAGTACTTTATACCCCAACAGAACTTCATCCAAAAAAAAAAAAAAATTAGCCGAAATTACTTCTTATTAGCACCCTGGTTTTCTACATACTGCT